AATATTATATACACACACACGTATATAAATAAAAAAAATATGATATAATAAAAGAAAAAGTAAAGCCACAATCTCTAGATTCCTGTATCGTTATCCATAGTAAACAGTTAGCAGATCCAGGAAGAGGAAGTAGAAAAATAACGGGAAACACCAAGCAAAACAACTTCCTTTAGCAACATCGTATTTGATACATGCATGATTGTCGAATTCCATCGATCGTTCGGAATGCAGGTATTCATCGCAAAGCTGTTGTGCCTCATAATGTATCCAAGTTTGCATTGCAATCCCTCATATCATACCAAAGATATGTAAAGAACATTATAAAGTCTGCATGTTGAAAAGCTGTCAGTTTTCGAACGTGTTAGAATGTATACCAGCTGCTCAAGAGTTTTATTACCGAAGAAAAAAATAAAAAAAATAAAAAAAAACCCTAAAACCGGAAGGATATTAGATATGAAAAATTGCTAGTTTACGAAAATAAGTATAGAGGATTTGTTAGAATAAATTTTTCCTGTTTTCTCTCATAGATTTCCAGGGAAAAAAAAAGCTGTGTTTATATATATATATAAGATATTGTGGAATTTTATAATTGTGTTGAAAAATTAATTCTTGTTTTTAAGTGTTTTTTCAACGTGTACAGGGTGGCCCTAAAGTCAGTTAACAATTGTAAAAAATAAATTATAATTAATTAAAAATATACAATTATCTTAATTATATTTTTACAATGCTTGAAGTAATTATGTAAAAGAAAAACGCACTGTTCTAAACTCAGTTTACGTTCCTGTTTACCACAAGTAAAACGGATTAACTGATTTTTGGGCCAGGCTGTGTATAACGTATTAATTTTATGAAAATTCGGTTAAATTAGTAACGATTTTATGAAAGTATATCTACATCTAAAAGTCATACATATAAAATAGTCTAGAGATAGATTTAACATATTAAATATACATATATATAATATCAGAAACAACATAGAAAATAAGAGAAATCACAAGATTTTACATAAATTATGTAAGGCCGTTATAATTAATACAGCTGAATTCGTTAATAGGTGAGGAAAAATTACATACCGAAATTAGTTAATCAATCAAGCGTGGCATATTTTACAGTTAATTAGTTTCATCTGACTATTATCCGCCATTACGAGATTTAATAGACTTTAAACAAGGATAATAGACGGCCCTAAACGAAAATAACTGGACACAGAATATATATAAGTCAAACAGCCTTTTAAAAAATCATTTTCTAACAAAAACGTCGTTTCAATCAGATAGTGATGAAGTACTTTATAAAACGTTCCACTTAAAGCATGAAACTCTTCCATATAAAGTACTTCTCTTCAGTGGATCCCCCTGACAGTTAGAGGGATAGTTTTAAGGGGTGGTTACGGAAGCGCGCTATCACCATGACAACCGCTACTCCGTGACTTTCGAACGACTCCGACGAACAATTGCAGTCACACGCTATCAAATCTATCGAGAAAATCTATTTCCTGAATACTCAACTCTTAAAGGACTTTTCTGTGAAACAACTTTTACTGATGTTCGTGGTCGCCAGTCATTGTAACCGTTAAAAGTTGGAAAGAGAGATCTGAAGTGAAGTATCATCCCCCCTCGAGAATCAAGTTTCAATTCCCCCAATATCCGCGATAATCGATTAATTGTCAGCATTAATATACGATTATTATAAAAGGGATCGATAAGTAAGCATTAGGAGAAGGGTTTGGAATAGAATAAAAAACATTCGTCACCTCTCTCTAAACACCTGAATGACTTTATTACCCAAAGAATCAGTTCGTTGAACAAAGAATAAAAACAAAAATGACGCTCGGACGAACATCGGAATAGTTTAAACTTGTACGTTGCGCTAAAGAGAAATATGAGAATTCTAAGTTTATAGTTAACTTTTGCCAATTTCCAGTTCTTTCCCTACGTGGTTTGGTTTCTACTGAGATATCAGAAGAAAGGACTTCACTTGAATACAAAAGAAAGCGATTTGCAAGATTACCAAGTTAAGCAGGTAATTTTTGAGATGTACAGTACAACGTATATCATGATGTATGCGCCTGTATATATATATAACGCTTATTTTGCAGTTTGAAAAATTGTCTAGTCGAGAAATATTATTCATTCGTTTATATATAAGATATTAAAATTCTTCTTAATCTGTTTCGCCAGTCGAAATTGTCGGCATTTAAGTTATTAATTTGCTAAAAAAAGCAATAAAATTTTTATCACATATAAAGCTTAGATAATTAAACATTTTACTAGTCGTGTATAAAGTTAACATGCCTATATAGGCATGAGAGAGTGTCTATATAAAATAATGAAGATGTTTTCTAACTTGAGATCAACAGTATTATTTTTATATATAAAAACTATAAGATATATATATATTCGTTATATGTCGTTTTTTTTCTTTAGTTGCGAGTTACGTAGACTAATAGTGATTTAAGAATGGCGGCTATGATTAGTCACGTATTCTGTGCTTGGCCCTCGGGTCAACATTGACACAATAGGTTGGCCTCTCTACCATAACGGGAACAGTAACTCAGATAATATATGTTCAATCACGTAGTTTCTAGCTAACAACTCGCTTACTTTACTAGACGATGTAACTTTGCTTCTATTATAAGAGGGGGTGATATATGTCTAGTAAGTTGTAATCGTTTTTTAAAAGGTGATCTTTATTAAAACATTGTTAAAAACAAAAGATTGAACATACTTTAATGCCATATAAATTAATTTGTTATGATCTTTCATTCCGCATCTATGGGAATTTCCATTGTTTTAAGCGATACGCTGTACGTTAAACGGAATTTCGTGATTTATATTATTAAATAATGTGTATAACGGGTTAAAAATTACTCGTTATATATTAGAGAGAAGATAAAACTAATGCGTCACATGTATAAATAATTTAGAATTAATGTTACAGAAGAAAAAAATACTTAATATACATGAGATGATTCATAACTTACTGTTATAAATCATTTACTATAATAGAAAATACATTCTGATACGCTTCGTATTATATAAAAATGATAAATATATCAGCTCTAGATAATAAGATACCGGAAAATAATATATATTTTCTGAATTTAAACAGTACAAACATGCTTCATAATAGTTAGTGATTGTTTATAAAAAATGTTCATGTGTATACAATCAAACCCCTGAACAACGGCCACCGACGGGAACATAAAAAATGTCCGTTTTTCGCAGGTGGCTGTTGTTTACAAGTTATTTTATTGCATTTCTGTTCAAAAAAGTTCACGAAAAAATGGTCGCTGTTTAGATGTGGTTGTTATTGGAGGTTCGACCGTATACAACCGTTATCTAAGAGATTTACACGATAAACAGGTTTTAATGAAGGAAGCGAAATGAGTGAAGCAATATTCATTAATTAAAAATGTTTATAACTGATTAGAAAGCAAAATATTTATTAAATCCCACACGTGAAGATATATAAAAATAATAAACAGTATATCCTATATATAGCGCATACTAAATATAATAATAGAATATAATAGAATCAAATTTAGGATAATTAATTGTACATTAATCAATATAAAAAATGATATATATTAAAGTTTCTATCGAAATTTAAAAAAAACAATGCACTTTACTGTATATAAATAATAAATAGAAGAGTTTATTCAATTAGGATACCGTTAAGGAAATTAATAAAAAGAAAGAAAAGAAAATTTAAAAATATCGAACAAAATTTGAAGAAAATTAATTTTGTACGCTTCAAAATAAACAAATGAGACGATAATAATCACATGACACGATTATCATTTAACGTTGTTGTAACTTTCTAACTAGAATTGATAAGAAACTTTCTCTTTTGAAAACCTTCGCCTTTAACCTCGTGTTACATAACGGGGCAGTCCACCTTTTAAGACACCATTTTAATCACATGATTTAGCGGTTGCTGATTTCGTATTTTCAACTTTACCACTTTAGTCTTAAGCCGCCTTTTCCAACATCTTCAACACTCAATCAACTGGCTTCCAACCAATAACATAGCATATTTAATAACCAAAGGCGGAAAGATGGAAAATTATGTTTCTTGGAGTGAAAAGAAATAGTAAAGTAGACACAAAAAGAAACTTAATGACGAATTTTCTGAAAATAAATTTTCTTGGATAAAGAATTTCCTTCCAAATGTGAGATTTAGTGCAAATATTGATATTTTATAATTGTTCCTTTTCATATTTATAAAGCTAGAAATTTAATAAAATATATTTTTTTCCTTCTAATTTTCTCCTTTCGATATATTAAATAAAAATGAATTTTAAAATATATTTATTATTTACTGAAATATATTATAATTAAAAATCCTCTTACTACCTGGACTTCGTTTTAGAGAACGTCTAGACAACTTATCGTTATCAATTATTATTTTTCGTTATTTTAATAAAGAAAAAATTCTTTTTTCCTAGTTATAAAAGGCTTTAGACATCTGTTAGCAACATTCTTATCAAAGGCAGACAAGTGTTGATTCATTGATTATCGAGTGGATAAACAAACCTAAACCTTGAACTATAACTCTCTATTAAAGTATATAAAGTGAGAGTGTTTAAAACTAATGTTGAGTCGCGCAAGGTTAAACTCTAGTAAATGTAGGCTATCTATCATTCAAGGTCCCATTACGCTTTCTCTATACGTTCACTAGCTTTAGAGAAAGAGAAAAAAAAGAAGAAAGTAAAATTAAAAATAAAAATCGAAACCTTGATCATTAACAGATGGTGTTTATAAATTATCAAACTGATACAACACGCAATCAGTAAAATATTAATATGTATCTAATTTAATTTTATATTAATTTCTCATCTAACTATTGTTTAGTAAAATGATTATATAAAATATAAACTAGAATTATCTCCCTACGTCAATTTATTTATACTAGTATTTTATTAATTTTAACTAAGTTTATAAAGTGAAAAATGAGATAAAATGTTTTAAAATTGTTTTAAATAAANTAATTGCTGATTATGGGCTGTTCATAAATTATGTCCGTATTTTTCTTGAAATTTTTATTCTCTCCTCTTCTCTTCGGACGTCCGACAAAACTCAACCCTCCTTTAAACCTTTATGAATGATTTATACCAAAAGTAGAAAGGAAGCATGCAAAAAATTTTGAAAGAAATATAACAAAATGCATAAAATGTAAAAAATTTAATGAAATAAAACAGACAAACCCTTTCCTTCCTCTTATCTGACTTGCTATAACTTCCTCCCCCTTCCAGTGTGTACTGTACATCATTTATGTACAGCCCCTTATAATAATATAGCGAAAGTCGAAGCCTGGAACAAGTATAGCACTATTTATATGTATTTTTTCTTCTTGTTAATTGTAATAATGTGAAATAAAATCGAACTCTTACACAATTATAAAACACTTATTTAATAATTCATTTTTAAAATTTTTATTCATCTTCGAAGATAATAAAGAATATTACATTACAAATTAGAAAATTCTCTCTTAATTTGCGCTAAAAATGCATTAGACTGAATTTAAATTATAATAAAGTATTTGTTTATATAATTAATTTATCTCGGATCATGTTTATTCTTCATTTTTTTTTAATATAGGCTAAAAGGCAGCTCAATAGTAAGTAGGGCACTTATTATTATTTTAACTGCCTTATTATATAGTATTCAATTTTTAAAAAAGAGGTATAAATTATTATATTTTATTTATTTATATATTATTTTAAACACTATACTTTCGTCCAACCTTGTTGTTTAACTGTCCTGATTCATTGTTGATTATTATAAGCTACTGTAACGAGAGAAGTCGAAGCTTTGAATTTCATATTATTTATTCTTGTAAACTACTCAAATCTATGTAATTTTTATTATATTTTATATATTAAAACTATAATTTTATCAATATTTATTAAGTAAAGATCTTCACGATAACTGTCCTTCATCTGACTTATCATAAATGGTACTTTTTGAAGGGTTATCGTGAAGGATATTTCTTCTAAGTTAAGAAATTAATATTTATTCAATTATTCATCTCCTGTTAAGTATTAATAATATAAACTGTAAAAAATGTCAAATTTTTCTTATTTTTACCTTAAAAAAAATTAAAATACTTAAAATATAAAATTTCAATTTTTCTAAATAATGTTTAGACGTATTTTTTCTCTTCAACTTTCTTAATCTCGTTAATTATAATGCTGAATAGAACGAAAACTCGAGGCCTGAAAGCATTTTAATACCATACGAAAATATCGAAAGACCTTAAACAAGAATATATTTTCTAGCTATAACAATAAATTGTACTAATTTAAAATCTAGACAATATTTACGAGCTGATGCTACTATAATTTTATAAATATTCTTAGTCTCAAGGCGTATAAAATGTATATTTTACCTACTTAAAGATAAATTAGTCTGTAGTAACGTTATACATTTAATATAATAAAATATACACATATATATTTATCAAGAGAGTTTGATAAATATTTGTTCTTTTTTTTAAGGAAACAATATAGAAACTATAATCCTTAATAAATAAAAGAAAAATAAAAAGATTCTTATGGAAAAAAAGAAAATCAGAGTGAGGAGACAAGCTAAATTCGTGAAGATTTACAACCGGACCAACATGTCGTGAGTGGAGACATAAACCTGTCCTTAAAGTTGTAAATTACTATTTTCTGTTCGTGAGTTTTTAACTCTTTTGATATTGTTCTAACCGACTTTTTGTAGAAAAATTCAACTACCATTGTAAATAAGCTACTTATAAATTAAGGCAGTCAACTTTTCCTACACCCAAGGGATTAATAATTATTATTATTTTGGTACTTTCTTTACATAGATTTTTATTTTCTGCTTTTACTTTCCCAGTGACTCACTCATTCATTTCGTAGTTAATAGGCCTATTTTTTTTTTGTTTTTTATTTAAATTTTTCTTTATATTATTTTATTTAACTGTTGTTAAAAAAATTAATTTCGTTACATTTTCGTTTATATTCTGTGAAAGTTGTTAATTATTGATTCTCCGTAAATCTGGATGAAAAATGGTTATTTTTAATTAAATAAAAGCATTAGAATTTATATGTACATTTTTATAATAATTATAACATTTTAAAAGTATAATTAAGCAAATTTATATATAAAATATCCAATATATTTGTATAATAATTATTACATTTTTAAGTATAATTAAGAAAGATTCCATGTAAAATATCCAATATATGGGTAACTGGAAATATATTTAAAATTTCTATTGTGTCCTCAGTTTTATAAGTAAAAAAATACCCGCACGTTTAAGTTAAATGTATTTTAAATAATTAAAATTTTCGACGAATCTATTGTTAAAAGGGAAACTTTTGTTTTCATCAAAGTGATAAGACAGAAATAACTAAGAAAGTGATGCAAGCAGAATGTTAACGTCAACCCCATCTTCTGACGTCATTTCAAAATAGGGAAAAGGTTTCAATAAAGGATATAAAAATTTAATTAAAAACTACTCGAATTTCATTAAATATAATTTTTTTTCCTTTAAAAAAGAAATTTAATTTTAATTCCCTAATAATAAAAATTCGAGAGAAGTCTTATATTTGTGTAGAATCTCTTATCAGAACGACTATACGATGATGAGGGATTAAGGTCAGAGGTCAAGTGACAGATCTTGCTTTACTAGGTTAGTCACGTGACGCGAGTGATGAGTCAGTAGCCGGAGAGGGGCTTCCCTGCAAATCACTTCTGTCATCCCGCAAAGCTGCCTTTACTTATTTACCAAAGTAAAAATGGTACTATTAAATAATATTTTATCTAAAATTATCTTAAATTTTATAATAAATATATAAATAAATCTAAATTTTAAACGTAAACAAATCGATTTAAAGTTTTAAAATAAAAAATTACACAAAAAAATAGCCTTTTAAACTTGCAATAAATGAAAGTTCTTATTGAAGATAATATAAAAATAATTATTTAAAATTAAAGAATTAGTGAAAAAACTCTACTAAACGAATAGTTCAGAAGTGTAAATATAGGTACACCAACTTTTTGTACATGCCAGATGATGTTAAAGAATGGTTCTTAGTATTCTGGCATAAGTCAGTTTCTTAAACAAAAGCTAACATCAAACAATACATTTATATATATTTTATATTTTAAGTTATTTATATTTAGAAAGAAAATTTAAACATGTAAATCAATAAATTATATATATATATATATAT